ATCCTTGGTAGGTTTCAAAAGTGGAATGAGGCAGGAAGGGGCCTCTGGGATGTTGACAAGACCTTAATATGGTTGCTGATTACACATAAGTTCATTCCATGAACACTTGGGATTGTGTACTTGTTTATATGTCAATTGTATATCAATAAAAAATTTTAAATATATTTCAAGCATGTAAAAATTACACAAAGAATAACAAGACTATGCTGGCAATCTATGTACAAATGTGCTTGATACAATTGATGTATGAATTGTTATAAGAGGTCTAAGAGCCCCCTAGAAAATAATTTATTTTAAAAAAAATAACAAGACAGTACCCATCAAGATTAAGAAATAAAACACTTACCAATATAGTTGATCTCTGTACAACTCTCTGATTACATTCCCTCCCCTCATCCCACCACGGGCTACCACTCTCTTGAAGTTGACGTTCACCATGTGTCTGCACCTTTTTAAAATAATTTTTTCTTTATATACAAGTCAACCCAAACCAGTTGCTGTTGAGTAAACTGTGACCATGGTGACCCCATGTGTAGACAGCTGATCTATTTCATAGGGTGTTCAAGGTTGTGACCTTCCAGGAGCAGATCATCAAGCCTGTCTTTGGAGGCTTCTCCGGGTGGCTTCCATCCACCAACCTTGGCAGTTAATAGCTGATAGCTTAACCCTTTGCACCACTCCTAGTGTGCTGTTGATGTTGTTGCATGCCCTAGTCCCCATTCCAAATCTCAGCAACTGTAAAAGACAGAGCAGAACTGTCTCACAGGGATTCCTAGACTGTAATCTTTAAGGGAGCAAATTGACAGGTCTTTTCTCCCAATGACCTTGCAGTGAGCAGCCCAGCACTTCACCATTACACAACCGGGATATATATAATTTATATAAGGAATACTTATGTATTCCCAAAATTTCCCCAAAAACTACATGGAAAGAAGCCCCAGTGGCACAACAGTTGAGTGATAGGCTGCTAACCCAAAGGTTGGCAGTTAAAATCCAGCAGCCACTTTCTTTGAGGAGAAAGGTGTGGCGGTCTCCTCTTGTAAAGACTGGAAACCCTTTGGGGCAGTTCTACTCTGCCCTATAGGGTCATTATGAGTTAAAATGGACTCTACGGGAACAGATTTGGATGTATCGGATTCAAGCAATGTATGGGAATCGCTGGGTCGTTCTAATGGTTACCCTGCTTAGCTGTTAACTGAAAGTATGGAGGTTCAAGTCCACTCGGAGGTGTCTCAGAAGAAAGGGCTGGTGATCTGCTTCCAAAAGATCAGCCTTGAAACCTCAGTCGCGCCCAGTGTGACTCGGACACACTTGGGGTCTCCACGGGTTGGAAGTGTCTCGACGGCAACCGGAGAAATAGGAACGTATAGAAGGTGGTCTGCTATTTCAAACCCGTGGGTTAGGGGTAATTTGGTTTCTATTTTCTAAAAATCATTCCAACAGGAGCTGGAGGGAACTTTCTGGAATGATGAAAATATTCCATATTTTGATTGGCCAGTTGGTTATATGGCTACCAGGTATACACAGTGGTCAAGACTCATGACCTTGTACATTTAAGACCTGTGTATTTCACTGTATGGAAATTTCAGCTCACTTTCTAAAAATTAAGAGATCATTCTAGCTTCTTTGTAGGGAATGGATGGATGTGGATAGACGTTGAACCCGGAAGGTCAGCTAGCAGAGTACTGATGATCTGGTGACAAACGTGAGACTAATTTCATCAATCTGAGGGGTAAGGAAGTAGAAACCGGGTGTGGAAGGAAATACAGTTCTTTCAGCAGCTTACCTGTTAAGTAGTGCAGTAACTGAAGGGAGAAGAGGGGCCAAAGGAGGGCTTTTTAAATAGAGAAGATCAAGAGCTTATTTGCATGCTGTTGAACTTGATGCATTACAAAAAGAAAAGGCAGGTAAGAGATGAGATGAAGGAACTAAGTCCTTGAGAAGGTGAGATGGATAGGCTATGAGACACAAGTGGTTTGGCTTTTTGCTGCAAAATAATCAATGTCTTCTTGCTTTTTAACTAGAAGGAGGGAAAAAAATAAAAGTAAAAGAATGAAAATAAAAATAAAAAGCAGGGAAAACTGTTTGGTGGTCAAAAGATATGAGCATCCCATCTAATGGCTGCTCCTTTTTCAATGAACATGAGTCATGCTCTGAAAAAAGGTGGGGGTGGCTGTTTTGGAGAGTGCAGACGGCTTTACATGGTATGACACTGCAGTGGTGCAGGCTGGAAAAGTAGCGCAGTATGGTGGGAGTGGCTAGGAAAAAAAAAAAACACGGGTTCCATTTTGAACAGGTTAGATGCCCATCGGTATCTGATTTTTCACAAAAAAATATTGAGCTAAAAGGCAAAAATATTGTTAATTTTCTTTGATTATACAATATAGAGCACAATGTAACTTATATTAGATACATAAGAGAGAATCAAAGAAAGAATGAGACGGACACGGTTTTTTCAGAGATTTTATTAGCACATTTCATCTTTTCTGCAGAAAACCCATTCTTTTCAGAATTAATTCACCTTTGATATCAAAGACACCTTAAATTTCCTCACTTACAAGAAAAACAATCTGTGTCTTCCCATCCTACCAACTCTTCATTTCATTTGAAATACTGATAATACGGTGGTCTTATAAAATCATTTTTAAACTGAATTCACCAGGGGGACAATTCTCATGGGAAACAAAGAGATACAATCCATATCCCTATATTGTCACAATTGATGACAACTTTAAGGCTATGGCTGACGAAGCTTTAACCTACTCTGGCTTTGAGACATTCTGCTGGTGCTAAATCACTCATGAACACTGAGTGAAAAATGCATTTAGCTCACAAAGAAGGATCCCAGGGTGGTCCTGGTTAAACCTTCATATGGCCAGAAGACTAGAAGCACTGGCTGCTTAAGAGTTAAATTAGCACAGTGTGCTGTTTATTTATCATTTATCACGTATCAGATGAAAAAATGAAAGATTCCAATGCAGCAAAAAAAAAAAAGTGTTAATGTCTTATTATCCTTCTTCCATTTAAAAGGACCCTATTCAAGCTGCCATGGAATTGGGTGGTTGAGAAGGCAGACTTCTGGGCTGCTAATTCATGTGTATGTTGAGGACACTCTCCTAATTCCTGTTGCCATAGCCAGACTGTAAATGCATATGTTTTTGTCATTCTTAACTACAGTAATTAAGAACTGCAGCTGCCAACTTTGGGGCTAATATTCACACATATGCAGTTCATGTTCTACTCTTAAAATAATTCCTTGTTTTCCATCAGAAGTCCCAACACTAATATATAAAATGGCAGAATTCAATTTAAAAAATAATAATCTGGACTCTGGACTAAATGCAGTTATGATGTATCCCCCTCCCTCCCCTTCCCACTCC